TCTTTTTTTTAATCTCACCCCTAAGTGTGCTAACAGAAGGGTAACAAAGCGTTGCATTATAACTTATATCAGTTAATGATGGAAATCCCAAACCTAATTCGTTATCCCAACTCAAAACTCCAGCCTTAATCTTATCACCTTGATCTAACCTTTTTAAATTATAGCCGATTTCATATGGTGATAATGACCCTTTAGGGTGATAACTCTAAATTAGAATATTAACCTGGCACTTAATCTGTAAACTTGACCTTTGTCCTTTACTACAAAGAAGAATTTGGCATATGAGGGTTAATTATCCAGATCGAAGCTGTTATTCCACTCGTATTTTGTGGCTTTTTAGTGTTAATTGTTTCGTGAGTATACATCATCTCCTGATTGGTTGATAAGTCGCTCAAGGTCGTCAGGTTATTATGCTACTACCATAATACTATCCGTTATGGTCATCAAAATTTGACTGAGTTTGTCAGTTAAAGAACAGAATGTGGTTTTTTTTTTAATTTCAACGTAAATTATTCACTTGATTATAAACCACGATATTTATGTGCAAGTTGGTAAACCTACTTGTAAATCCTCTTACGGAGATAGATAGTCATTGGTTTCGAACTTTCAAACTTTTGATTAAAGCCTGAAGCATAGTAAAACAACATCATGGCCTATAAAATTTCAAATTCTGTTTGTAAGCAGTCACTAAAATATAGGAACTTTGGTTTAAATGTGAACGGATAGTTTTACAGGATTTGGACACTGAGTTAATATAAGGCATTAGGGAGGAAGAATATGTTTATATAATCTTAGATCGAATTTGGAGTAAATCCAATGTTTCACTCGGCAATCCGGTACAAGCTTTTTCATGGAAGTATGATCAACTATCAAAATTATCGAATATAAACAATTAACTGTATACTAAATAGGTCAATCAATCATGTTAACAATGTTTAAAGTAAGTATCTACTCTTCATACCTCGAATACACACAATCTGTTATCTTAACACTTTTCGTTACACACCACATGTCTCAAATACACTAAAGCAAATATTTACTTTAAACACCGTTAACATGATTGATTGACCTATCTAGTATACGGTTAACTGTTTATATTCTATAATTTTGATGTTTGATCATATTTCCTTGAAAAAATTTGTACCAGATTGCTGAGTGAAACGTTGGATTTAATTCAAATTTAGTCGCCGGGATTATACAAATATATTCTTCCTCTTTTACTGAACAGTCACGTTAGTATGGGAAATTTGTGTGTGCTACTTATATCGACATAAGTAGTATATAGTAGCAGAAGATTAAGAAGATCAAGAAGGGAAGAATGGGAACAGAAAGCCACTGGTATGGAAATGCAGGAGCAGTGAAGTCTGAGACGATCGACTGATATGTGAAAAAGAAACAGTCAAGTTTGATACAATTGATTGATACTTTACAAATTAAGTATTTACTATATGGTTCTTCGATTTTAATAAGACGTTCTGTAATTGTTTGTTCTCGTTCAGCACACCGTCACCGATGAAATACCTTTCAAAAACATATATTGATCTAAGTTACAGTAGTTCATATTATTACAGAATGAGAGAACATAGTCAAAATGAAAATTGCTGTGAGAAGGATTCATAATCCATTAGAACGGAAACTTAAAAATAAGAAGTATTTTTCAAGTGCAACGAATCAAATCTAAGTAATAGAGTTATGGAATGACACAAGCTTCTAGATTTAGAATACGATATACAATGATTGTAACTGCGTTACTTTGATTCGTTCGGAGAAATGTCACCTAACGTCACCAACTATCATTTAACATTATTACACTGTCTACAACAAGAAATTCTGTTTGTTTTTCGAACCATTCAGTAACTTTATTGACTAATGGCAATTAATATGTTTAGATATCTTTGACTGACTTCTAACCTACTCCTATATAAACCAGTGATGATCATCAGAACAGGCAGTGACTAGAAATCTGTAATATATATCCCATATCAGTAATTGGTTATTATCATTATATATGAAATGCTTTATAAGGATTAAATTAGGAAACGGTTTAAATTTTTAAATGAATACCTCATTTACTAATTGTAGATTGGATTGTTTTTTACATATGTACACTAAATACGTACAAACTATTTATTGTGTTTATAGGTATTAATACTAAGGTTGAACTTGATAGTTTCAAATAACTTGAACATTGGATAGAAAGTTTCTTTTATATTATTTAGACTTATGTTAATTTAATTCGGTTATTTATTTATTCTGAAGAAGTGGTCACATTAAATCACGAAACGTCGAAAATACGACTTTTCTACTCATTTGGATATAACAAACAAAAAAAGATATTGATTATTGTTTGTTGTGTTGTTTTTTTTCAAAGTTATTGTTAACTAACTTGTTAGTATACAAAAAATCAAAATGATCTACAACATAGAAGTCACAATTGATTGATCACTGGGTGGTGATCAATCTCATGCTTGTCTAGTCCTTATTAGTGCAGATCGAATGCTATCGATCATGTTGCAATGTGGCCACCAGTCTAGGTGACTCGACACTGCGGGCACTATGTATTGAGATTAGATGGTGGTTGGAGGTAGTCAACAGGAAACCCTGGACCCGGGTTTCGTGCTACTTGGCACTCGTCAGCAAGGTGTACCTGTAATCTTGAGGGAACTGGTGCTCCCTGGCGGATTCGATCTCGTGTCACCCAGCTTCACAGTCAGAGACGTTACCACTGAGCTATCCGAGCCGTGACTAACCTCCTGTAGGACTGAGATGTAATCACAATTGATTGATCACTGGGTGGTGATCAATCTCATGCTTGTCTAGTCCTTATTAGTGCAGATCGAATGCTATGATCATGGGATAGCTCAGTGGTAACGTCTCTGACTGTGAAGCTGGGTGACACGAGATCGAATCCGCCAGGGAGCACCAGTTCCCTCAAGATTACAGGTACACCTTGCTGACGAGTGCCAAGTAGCACGAACCCGGGTCCAGGGTTTCCTGTTGACTACCTCCAACCACCATCTAATCTCAATACATAGTGCCCGCAGTGTCGAGTCACCTAGACTGGTGGCCACATTGCAACATGATCGATAGCATTCGATCTGCACTAATAAGGACTAGACAAGCATGAGATTGATCACCACCCAGTGATCAATCAATTGTGATTACATCTCAGTCCTACAGGAGGTTAGTCACGGCTCGGATAGCTCAGTGGTAACGTCTCTGACTGTGAAGCTGGGTGACACGAGATCGAATCCGCCAGGGAGCACCAGTTCCCTCAAGATTACAGGTACACCTTGCTGACGAGTGCCAAGTAGCACGAAACCCGGGTCCAGGGTTTCCTGTTGACTACCTCCAACCACCATCTAACAACATAGAAGTATATAGTTTATCGTATGTTAAACTATTGATATGCTATGAAGATGAAGATGATGACATGACTTCATGCGCTCTTGTGAAAGATAATAAATGACATTTATTTTATTATATACATGAATCAATTGTTTATTTCACAAGATCATTGTTCCTTTGCTTTTCTACATACATAGATACTTTTCATAATACTTCAACTAGTTTAAGGTACTTTTTAACTTATTTATTTAGTGAAACGTATTGGTGAAATATAATACTTTTGAAATATTACTGATTACCGAACAAATGGATGACCTTAAACATTCTAATTTTTACACTTATTGAGCGCTTGGTGTTGACCAATATCATATTATTTAGTTTTTTAAACCAAGTTACAACATGGCCATACTAAACTATGTAACTTGGTATTATAATACATTTTTTTAGTGTTAGATGATTTGGAGCAGTTGATTGATAGTCCTGGACTTCTTTTCAGTGTTAATTCCCGCTCATTACTAGTTATTGTAATACGAAATTTACGTCCAGAGCATTCTGTTTTTAGCTTTAAATCAAATAACATTTAAACAAATATTGGATTCTTGACCAATCAAAGTTAATCAGTGATGTTTAATTTCAAATCTAACTATCTCTACTACACCCTTGTGATAATTATCATCGTATACTTACTAGTGACTTACATCGAGAGTTCTAGTACAAAATCAAGCCATATCTAGCATGAAATAAATATCACTGATGACAATATATGATGTTCGTACGCTATCACGAATTGCTTAGGGTCAGAAATGTAAACCATCAAATGACATGTCAGTTTTTCAAAGTTTGGTTCTAGGTTGAATCTCTGGTAAGTTAATGGATACCCACTGTTGAGGAGTTCCACAGTAGAATGAACTGGCTAATCAATTTCTCCCTAGTTTTCAATGGTTTATAACTGAAATTCAGTTCATGGGATGAAACTTTAAATATCAGGAGTTGAACTGCCTAGCTAGTAACATATATATTATGCGTATAAAGTTTACTTCATTTGACCCAAATTTTCTATCTAGCATCTTAGTGAAATTACATATTTATAACTTTAGTTGAATGAGAATTTCATATTAGACTTTTTCAAATCCAGCCAACTAGTATGAACACTGATAATTGAAATAAGTTAACAATTCTCACTAACTAAAATAACAGATATTAATTAAGAATTTTCACATATTAAACTGGCCGGGGTTATCCTCATTATTCAATAATCATTGTTGTGTCCTGCAATATTAGTTATTTTCCTATTCATTTAGTAAATAAATTTTCTATATTAAATTGTAATTTTCATTTAGGATTTTAATTCAAACTCTGAATTTCACTTTATTTATGTTTTCCATTCGGTATATTGAACTGCACCACAGTGATATGTTCATGGCGAACAGTTTTAGATGCCTTCAATTATTTGAAATTGAATCCCTGGTGAAAATCACCCTCTTACTAATAAACAGGAAAATAATCGAAAGAGATAAATACAAATTATGTATATAAGATTGTAAAGGTTCCAGATAACCTCGGTAGTCAAATTTATACGATTAATTAATCACTTATAGAAAGAACTTTTTAAAAATATTTTTTTTTATTCTCATACTTTATCATCTCTATAGAATTGAAGATCCGTTAGGAAGTTTAGATTTATTCTCAGTACTTCGTCATTATTTTAAACAGTCTGGTTTTCAAATTGAAACACCAAATGAACGTATTCGTTTATTGTATGGATCAGAAGAAGGACTTTATGGTTGGGTATCAGTGAATTATATTTTAGGTAATATTAAAGAAGTAAGTTTTAAACTAATAAGTTGTTTTATTATTTATTTTGGAGTAATTTTTATTCATAAATGATTCAAACAATCTCTAAGTAGGATTATATACATCGATATGAAAAAAAGTGTTAATGTGAACCGAATACACTAATCGATACTTGTTTACTGAAATACATAAAATTGGTAATAGTAATAACAGGTTTACTGAATTACTTTTGTTTTTGTTACAATAAAGAATTCTCGTACTTACTCTTACCATCCTTCGTTGAGGAGCATAGGTTGCTGACCAACACTCTCCATTGAACTCTGTCCTCGGCAATTCTTTTCAGTTGCTATTCATCCTCTTCATGTCTCTTCTTTCGCCTTCCTCTTTTCCGTTTCCCTTCAGGATTCCAAGTTAGTGCTTGCTTTGTGACGCAATTTGATGATTTCCTCAATGTGTGTCCTATCCACTTCCAGCGCCTTTTCCTAGTTTCCTCCTCAGCTGGAACCTGGTTTGTTCTTTACCACAGTAGACTGTTGATGGTTTCCGGTCAACGGACATTCAGTATCTTACGTGGACAATTGTATATGAATACTTGAACTTTCTTGGTGATAATTGCCGTAGTAGTTCTTCACGTTTCAGCTCCGTACAGTGGAACTGTCTTGAAATTCGTATTGAAGACTGTGACTTTTATGTTGGTTGACAGTTGTTTTTAGTTCCATTTGTTCTTCAACTGTAGAAATGTTATCCTTGCCTTGCTAGTTCTTACCTTTACGTCTGCATCAGATTCCCCACATTCAGCAATGATGCTACCCAGATACGTGAAACTTTCCATCTCTTCCGGTAATTTGTAAACCTTCTACATTATAGTATGAGTATATATGTGTTAACATTCATAATTATTCAGTTCAAACAAATCTAAAACCTGATAGTCAGTCGTAATGTTTGCACATTTGAAAAATAAATAGCCTAAATGTTTGTGTAGACCGACGAGTTTAAACACCAGATTTTCAGATATCGTACTTCAACTTTGAAAACTTGAAACAGGTAGAATACCATCGAATCTTATGCAAAAGGTTTGGTTGAAAGCCTAATGTATGGAGGCTGTATTTGGTGGTTTTATTACACCAATCTTAGTTTTTTCCTGTTTGGTTGAAAAACCTGTTGCTAAGCTATTAAATGTTTCATTACTTTTTACTCACATGTTCTTTTCTGTAAACTGGTGTACATTCTACAATTATTTTCAGAATGTTTTATTATTATTTGTTGCACTGGGATCATTGAGTTTCATTAAAATCATGGACCGATCAATGTTAGACCAACATTATAAACATAGAGGCTGTGAACTATCGTTTAACCCTGGGCTAGTGCATATCCACGAGCCCGCACGCGCGACTTAAACCCAGAACCTTCGGTCTCATGCGCGAACGCTTAACCTCAAGACCACCGAGCCAGTGTTTAGTGGTGTTAATATCTAAATTCAATCAAACCACGATATTGAGTTATTATCTTCCATTGTCTTTGGTTGAACTCCACTGGTCACGGCCTTTCACTAGAATTCAAGTAATTCCCCCTCAACACCAATCACTACTGAGCATATGAAAATTGTGAGTATGGGGTTATAGAGACTGCTGAGTTTCATTCGAATCATAAACTGATCAATGAAAGACGGTTGCGCACATATCCTATAATCTCTTTATAATTAACTTATTTCTTTTTAATTATTACGCTCAAATATGATTAGGGTAAACAAACAAATCCTACTGATACAGTTGGTTCTTTGGATCTTGGTGGAGCTAGTACACAAATTGCATTTGTTCCTAGACAATATTCAACTATACCAACAGAACATTTAAACTTTTATCCACTCCGATTATATGGAAATGATTTTTCAGTATATAGTCATAGTTTTTTATGCTATGGAAAATCGGAGTTTGAAAGACGTTTAATGACTTCCATTGCAGTAAGTTTTCATTTCTTAAATTGGAAATAATAAATTTTGATTAGTATCCCAGATATTTGTAGTTCTATCTAACATGTTTTTTGAGATTTTATTTATTATAATATGATAATTGATAAAAATTTATCGCTTAAAGTGTTTATTTTCATATATTGGGTTTTCTTCTTCCCTAAGATGTTCCTATAATGATTTTTCCAAATTTCATAGTTGCCAAGATACATTTTTTTTAAAATCTAAGTTTACGACAACAACAAAAAGAAATATATATGCATCCTGTGTTCATTGCCTTTATATTGACATGATGTCACAGATTATATATTAAATAGATGGAATGTGATTAGAAGTAAAACTCGGGATTTGTGTTTCGTTCTATTTGGAATTGTCATCTAAATGTACCTAGATCTCAATGTTAACGTCTACACCTAGTACTTGGGACTCTCCATCAGTGTGTACCATCATGATTCTATTGGATAGCGAACATAAAAAATTCAGGTCTCATAACGAATGTGTTACTTTTAAATCACTGAATTGGATTATAAATCATCAGAATTTCACAGCTCTAATTAATTTTTATCATCCGATCATCGACTCGGATGTAGCCTAGTTAGCTTAAGGCTTGCTTAGCTAGCTCTACACCTTCGCAATACGTCAAGAACTAAAACATTTCATGGCTGATCTGAAACACTTGTCTCTTTGGCAACACATACACATTCCTAGGTCATTACGACCACGTCTAACCCAATTTCCTCTTTGACGATCTCAAACAAAAGAATTATCTTTCTACAATTTAAGAAACCAGAAAGTAAAAGCCGCTCTCATACTTTTTTCATTGTTGATATGTATCACACTCCTGACATGATTGAACTCAATCAATCACAGATTATTATTAGAACTTTGATTTTCTTTAGTCGACTTCAATAAAATTAATAATTAAATATCAATAAATTACATTTTAGTTGGCAGTGTCACTTACGTAATCTGTATAGTGATTTCAAAGTTATCATTCAACGCATTTCTAATTCTCGGCATAAATATCTCATTTGAGTTGTTGAGCAATAATAATAAACATCATTCCATAAAAAATTAATTGAAGTGAATACATACTTATTCACATTGTATAGTGAATGCACACTGAATGATTCGTATGTCAACTTCCGTAGCCACACTTTCTGAGTAAACACTCTTCAAAACCGTTTTTTGATAGTGAAAGTAGATATGATTGATCGCTAAGTTTGGACAAACAGTCTCTCAGCTTCTTGAACATTAAACATGTGATTTCCATCCATCTTATAAATTTCTATTCCGGACTCACTGAGATTACCTGTTTGTAGTTGTGTGAAGTTTGTGCTGATGATATCGTTCAGAAAAACGATGAAAGCTCCATGATCAAACCATCCAGCTTCCAGAACAAAACTCCATCAAAATAAAATATTTATCTAGTATTTACTCTGGTTCCCCATTTTTGGTCATGAACCGTCTATCTGATATAACGTGATCTAGTCTCTGTTTAGTAGATTGTTCAAGTATTTAATCTAGCGGTATTATAAACTCAGTTACCCAGACCAATATTACTTATTATACCGGAAAAAGAAAAACGTTTTAATCCGTCCATAATAATAGAAACAGAAAATGTTTCTTATCAATGCGAAATTTTATTCATAGACATCATTAGTTCATCATATTTCAGATTCGATATATTCATATTTATATGTATCCGATAATGTTAGCCAGGTTCAATTTAATAATAATAAGTAAAGGTTACTATCAAAGATTATTGTCAATGAAGAAAGACAACGTTAACCAAGTTTTATTCAACATAATAGAATAATTCAGCTTTGTTTTACATATTTAAAACAAGTCGTCAGAAAACCTTAAACATAACAGAGATCACTGATGATAGCAATAGGACTCTTAACGTGATGCTGACCTAAAGGGTTCAAAATCTCAAAGTACCAAAGGTTTCTCCAAGATTTTATAAATGCCATTACTTATTATTATTATTATTATTATTATTATTATTATTATTATTATTACATGTTAATCCATTGAAAATCATTATATATTAAAAATATTCACTTAGAAATCTTTTTTTCCTCTCTTCACAGGCACAATTTCCTTTACAAAATGAAATTCCTAATCCATGTTTTCTTCAAGGCTATAAATCGGATTTGTACAATGCACTTGAGTGGTTCACTGGAAGTTGTTTATCTGGAACTTATGCAAAGAAAACATTTTCTGAGGAAATTTTCCGACCTCCTGTAAGTTACGAGTTGATTTAGTATTTAGTTAGTTTCAGCTAGGTTAACTGTACGTATATAGTAAATTTTGTCTTTTGGAAAACATTTTATGCCTACGATCAGTTTTAGTTCATAGTCTGTCCAATTTATTCATCCTTAATATAATCGAGGATTAGAAAGTAGAGGACTAAATTCATTCATAACTACAGATGAAATTAGTTGATTTGACAAAATGTCTGGCAATTGAATGTAGGATTAGCGTTTCGTCGTATTTAGGACCCGTTTCCTGGATGTTCTTACATCGTACTCTTCATATTTAAATCGAAAATTAAACTCAATACCTTTCCCCTCAAACGTCAGTCAGTTATCCATTGACTCACTGAGTCCAGTTTGCCACTAACTTGTTACAGTACTTTGAAAGTAATAATGAAGGTATGTAATTTCCCGTTGTTGATATTCAGGATTGTAATTGATCAGTCTCAATTGGCATATTTTCATCTTAAGTGGGTTGCCCCTATATAACGTTATGTCACAAGTTTTATTATATTTGATGTGTGCCGTGCAGTGGAATCTAGTATTCATGTTTTATCTTATTTGAAATTCGTCAGATAAATGTAACCTACATTGCAATAATAATATTCACACTGAGTCTTAAACCCAGTTCTTTTCGCTTCAGTAAAACAGATGACATAATTATTAAAATAATTTCTCTAAAAACTTGTTCAAGAAATGGAAAGTAAATTGTTTTCAGATTGATTAACAAAAATATTGCACTGATTATTTGGATTTTTTAGTTACATTTATCATTATCATCATCAGTCGAGTCATTAATTCAATAAACAGAATTCAGTAGCTTGAATTTACATTTCAGCTTGTTCGAATTTCGTGGAATGAAAAAATAAATAACCTATGTATTTTATCGATCAACTACATACTTTTTCTATGGCCTCATTCGCAGCTCCTGAAGAAAAATGTCCTGAAAGTCATGACTAGAATTTTAGAGTCATTCAAGGCTATCATACCTCTTCGTCTGAAATTAACCTGTCTCCTGTAATTTTAACTAGACAAGATATTTGAAAACTGAAGAGAAGAACTGATTAGCCGCTTTTTTTTCCCAAAAACTTGTCATTCTAGTGACTTAATCCGTCTGTATATTTCAAAAAAGGTCAATCTACTTAAGTAAATGGGAAAAATTCAAATGTTCCCGTGAAATGAAAATATTTTTCAACAGATTTTCACCATAAAAATCTAACATTTTCTGTAACTAGTAATCAGCAGGCGTTTTAACATTGACCTCATATGTCATCCAATATTGGAAATGTTAAATATCTATTTAGTAAGAGATCAGGTTATCAGACTAAGTGATCAATATTTTGTTGTAAGTGACTTATGAAGATTGTGAAATTTCATAGTTCATATCATGAACTGGTTTTAGTTATACAACTACTAAAAAGTAGGAAGTGTCAGAAAACTGTTTCGTACAATGGTGAGATTTTTCATAAATGCCCATCTATGACCCGACAGGGGAAACTAAAACTTCAGGCCTTTAGAATACCAAGCAGGAATTCATAGGTCTACATTTCTAACACCAATCAATTCTTGATATTCCGTTCACTATTGGGCCTGTAGGTTCTATTGTTCGATTCCCGGTAGAATTGTGGATGTGCACTGCTGAGGAATTTCATACTCCTTAGTTTTAAATAGCTTTCGAACTAAAATCAATCCGTGATGGAAACTAATCAATTTGTTTTTGTTTTTAAACTAATGCTTTGAAAGTTATTGCTTGTTCTTCAGATTTACAAATTAAACTATACACTTATCTACATTAATCCACAGTTTACTGTTCTGTTTCCTGTAGTTAGTTACTTTATCTATTAATATATTATGTTGTTGTTTTCTATTTTTAAAGTTATTTGTCAATTAGTTTGACAATGGTATTGTATTCATTATTCATTATTTATGATAGATCTTAGTAAAACACATGATAAACACTTTTTTTTCTCTTTATACTTTAGAATATGAATAGTTTTTCATTTAACGGTATAGGACAACCTAATGAATGTGTCAATTATATCCAAAAACATTTTCAAACGAAATGCAATTTTTCATCATGTTCATTCAACAATGTTTTTCAACCAGCTCCATTTGGAAAGTTTTTGGTAAGCCATTTTATGTTAATGTTCACATAGGGACTTGCTATCCTCCTTTGCTAGTGTTCGAGAGTTATACGTTATTAAGTGAATTTATGAGTCGATTTAAGCTAGATCACCATTGATAACCTGGAAACATTGGAAGGCCGCCTCGTCTTAGTATAGGACTCTTAAGAAGTGCTCACCGACGATCCCGCAGAGGCTAATGTGTGTGAGCGAACAAATACATAGGTGAATTTATGGTCAAACCCAATCAAGGTGCAGCGAAGCACGCCAAAGGCTACTATTAGGACTCGAGAACATGCATACATGGGGATGAGGATGACTCATTGAGTAATATTTAAGCGACTAATATTTAAGCTAGAGAGAGGTATGTGCGTAGTCTATCGCATGTGATCAAACCTACATGTTTATACAGACATGATAGTGTTCACAATAATACAAAGAAATAAACGAGTTGTTTGTTAAATAAGTTAGTAAAAGGGCTTGAAAAAAGTTAACCATAATCGAAATTAAACGTAGGAGTGTTGCTATAATTGTTTCAGTCTTTACAATCAACTATTTTATTCGAACATGAACCACTGAAACACCTCGATTTCAATGAGAATAATATTTTCCCCCTGGATTTCCTGCTCCCTTTTAACAATCTTTTTCAATGAATTGCCTATCAAGTTATCAATATGATCCCTCATGACAAAGATCTAGTGATATGTAGTGTATATTGAATTTATGATATAGTTCATCCCTTTTTGTTGTTAAAATGCCCATCATCATTGTTATTCAATGAATCACTAATAAAACGATTTGCCCAAAGGTTAAGTTTTAACAAAAGAGGAAAAACTCATCTATTTACGTTTTGTACCTAATGTGCATCAAAGGTAACAAGTAGATGTCATGACTTTTTGCCCTCATACTATATCATATCCACCCTATGAGTAAGAAAAAATAATTTTCCTACCAGTTCGAAGCAATCTGTGCATTACAATAATATCTTCCAGAATCTTCTCTTTAAAATGGGCGATAACTGAGATTTAATGGTTGTGTTCCCAGGTCCTACTGCTAATACTTGAAAACAGAAATTACTACAATTCCTGCGACACTAAGTACAAACACGGAAGACTTAATATAGTGAAGATTGATTAACTATTTAAAAACATATCTTTACTGTTTGAACTATGAATAGATCTTGATAATCAATGAATTGGTCACTAAACATAGATGACTATATCATAAAATTAGGCATCTAAACCAGTCAATATAACTAACACAGAGCTATGGAGATCAGCGCGAGCGGAACGACTAAAAAAGCGACTTATTAAAGGAGGAACGAGTATGGCATACGCTACTGTGATACTTAGACAGATAGACACAGGTAGTATATAGCAGGAATTGGAATTGGAATACTTACCAGCAGAAGATTGAAATGAAGAAAAGAGAATGGACAGCAGTAAGCAATCAAAACAGCAACATCATTGGAAGAATGATAAAGTATATAGAAGACAACTCAAGGAAGATGAGCAAATGATGTATTTGATGTGATTTTCATGTTTTACAAAGACATTGTGTAATTCTGTTTACCCAACCCAAATCTTCGTACGTTACAACACGATCACTCCTTAAACTGTAATGATCTGTCTCAGCTTATAGGGGAAAATTCAGTATCACATATCACTAGCATTCCAATGAATTGAGCTCTTGGTCACCCTATCATTAACATTCACCCTTTAAATAGTGTGTGTTTAGCCTTGAAATCTGTTTTTTATCGAGGGAATGGTGTGCAATGCAGTTTTTTAGGAATACGGAAGGGATAGGAATGGGAGAAAAATTAACTTAACAAATCAGTAACCACTCGAAATAAACTTACTTATAACGTCCAAAAAAGCACTCACGCATAATAAGTAACAATACAAACATGAAATTATGACGATCGGATATCCAAAACAAGGAGTTTAAAACATAAAATTCTTAACTCATTACTTTATATCAGTCCTGTTGGCAAGTTATAGCTCGAAGAGCTCAGATTATAAAGCTGGATGGTACTGGTTCGATTCCCAGAAGATACGTCAGTTCCCTAAAGATTGCAGATGCCAGTTTTCGACGAATACCAGTTAGCATGAAAACTAGGTTAAAAATTTCCCGTCGAATACTTCCAACGGCCAAGCATTCATTGACTTATTAAAAAAAACTACTGACAGAATGATGAAAACGATGCAATAAATCATTCAAAGAATAAAGTACCCTGCCAATTGTTGTTAATCATCCGATACATAGCTGTCAGTACATTTTTAAAATGTTGGACATGAGATTTCTGAGCTTGTAAGAAAGAAAATTCCATTAGTGTTGTAATATAATCGATAAAGTGGCGTTTAGTGGGGACGGGATCTGACTCCAATTAGATATGTTGATCGCTCTTGAATGAGTGCTATCGAAATATATATGTTGCCTATCCTCGTATATAATCATCGGCTTAAATCGCGTTAGTCAATAACGGAATTAAATAAGTCAAATAACGAGAATGAATTTCGAATACGTATATTTCATACAATCTTTGGTCCAGAAAAAATATCGGAGAAGCGAAGAGAAAAGATCGAAGCAGAATTACGCGCAGTAGAGCAGGCATCTGAGCCAACTCCATTTAACCAAGCGTTAATCAATATTTATAGTCACACAAAATTAAGTTGCAGTCATGTAATGTATGGGATAAGAAGTGTACACACATATATATACGCTCATATAAAAACAGTCAAGATTGATAAGCGAATAATTAACAAGGTCAAAACGTGACTCAAGTAGAATGAATAGATTGGCCTGTCCGAAAGCTAGAATAAGGTAAATGGGTTTAACATAATAAGCGACATTACAAGTGCTTAGTAATCAATTAGTTGATTGCTTTACGCGGCATCATAAAACACTAACTTCCATTCCCTAGGCGTTATAAATTAACCTCTTATGATTTATGATGAAAAACCTATTTGAGAATTGTTAAATTAATTGATGAAATGCTCCGATCTGTTGATAATACACAATGATACAGTGTGACCAAACAATGATCAATCACAAAACAGAATCAATGACATAAGCCTCCAATCTTTTCTTCGGACAAAATAATATGCTAATACATAAAATATTGGATACAGGAACAAATACGATTATAAGTCATTTAACAGGTAAACAATTTCAGGATATACCAACTACATATCATTCACTCTCCAATGGAATTAATGCTTACGTATCAGGCTTGTACCTGCTTTATTATATCAATAGCAATAAAATTAAAAATTTTCACCAAACTGTTGAAAACCCGTGTTTTCACAATACAACTGTTAATTCTTACTTATTTTCCTATTTCTTTATGATGTCTAACCTCTACACACTACACTGAGATTCTTTCGGTTTTATTTCTTCTCTTTTTCTCTATAAAATGTGTGTATTTCTTCTCGTAGCTGAGTCATAGAAATTTAATTATAACCAAGTAATCCACAGACATTTCAATATAGTTTCATTTATTTAGGATTTATGAATTATTCCTTCATTATTATAACAACAAAAAACATCAAAATGATTCATGTCAATTTACAAATCACATCATTTTAATTAACTTCCAAGGATGATTCAGATTGCCAGTAACTTGGTGTATGTCAAATTAGTTTAATTGCTTTAAAATAAAATTACTACTATGTATTAATGAGTAGTATATTTTCTGACTAGTAAAATGTCGTCCAACTTCCTGGTCAATTGATTTGAATGAAATGGATTGAAGATAGATTTTTTAAAATACTTGAATAATTTGAATTGTATGAAGTGAATTATCGGAAAGAATTGAAGCCTTAAGTTATGTCATATTATATTTGATTTCAACCGTTTTTCATCAATCATTTCTTAGTGAACTTTATTGTTTATATGTAATCTTTTCTACTACTACTAATACTGTTAATACATATACTATTCTGGGATTTATTTTGATAACTTCATCTCGTTGTGCTGTTCTGATATGATAACTTGAATAAATGTGCACATATCTACTGGGTTCTATTCTTAGTACTCTGAAAAGTTGACACAGTGCTTTGATATACTTTATCAACTTTTTCTGCATACGAAATATTTCTCAGAATGCACCTTTGTGGGTATAAAGGTTATTGTAGGCTAGTGGATGCTGTTAGTAGATTGATTATTCATATTTCATCATTATTATCTGATAATCACAAACTTTTTAATGTTTATTTCATGTTTTCTTTCACACAGAATAGTTCCTTATATGGACAGTGTCTAGTTATGTGTAATTTTTCTAAAATCTTGCTTCAGTTATTCAAATTTTAGCAATGTGAGAAATAGTTGTACACAGTTGTTTTTTTTAACTTAATGTCACCACGATTTCAGCCTCAAATGAACATCAATTTCACTGATATCTCTGTTATTCATAAATTTTAAAACAGTGGCCACCTCTCCGAATCACTTAAATTACACTATCTTAACGCTGAAAAGAGTAAAGTTTTTAGTTTACGATAATGTTTGAACTGATTTTCACGGTTCAAATTATTATTTTTTTCTCTACTGTTTAGTAATATAATACATAATTAAACTTTTCAATAAAGCAATATTCATATTATTTACTGCTTTTTAAATTTAATTTCAGGCATATTCTGGATTTTCTTATGTGATGCAGTATTTATTTCCTAACAAGAAGACAGGATTTACACTAACAGAAGTTACTGAAGCTGTTACGAATTTTTGCAAAAAACCGTGGAAAGATGTAAACTTTCATTCATTTTCTGACAATTTCTTATCGCTTATATGTTAATTTTTTTAAAAATTGTAATTGATCTGAAGTGATTGAGTGTACTTAGAAGGGAATTGTATGTTCAGGCTTTGTTAGAATTGACACTCATCAGCAAGGCGTACCTTCAATCCTGCCAGAAATAAAAACCTTTGTAGAATTAGAACTTGCGAGATGAATTTCGATTAACACTAAGAAATAGACAAATATATTATTAGATACTACTCGGTAATCAATCGATGTGAATTCTTGATATAATTATTTGTAATAGATATACAAATTTTACATAAGTTGTGATGTTCAACATTTCAGCTTGTGTTAATTATCATTTGCTATGCTAACCACTGTAGATAACTTGGTTAGTTATTACCATTACACAATTACCACTACAATTTGTTAACTCCTGATATATATATATATATATATATATATATATATATATATAGAGAGAGAGAGAGAGAGAGAGAGAGAGAGTTGTATCTGGAGAGTCGTTACTATTATGTACGTATCAACTTCGCTGAGTCCGCAGTCTCATTGCTTTTACTTGGCTGTCGGGAACTGCTGCAATTTCTCGATCGTACTGCTTATACTGTGACACAGAAAACACTATATTTCCCAAGACTCATTAAGAACAGGAAAGATTGATGCAATGAGGATTTATTGACTTCCCCAAAAACACGTCTCCAAACAAGTTCCCAAATCACATCATCATTAGATTAAAATGCAACCATTTATACGCTAATTCCTACACTCATTTTATAATAACACATGTAGGGGAAAATACATACGGTTACTGTAAATAAACACTACATGTAGGTCATCTAAATTAATATAGAGAATAAAATTGTCACACTGAATGAATGTTCTGACGTGTCATATCGAACAACGTTTATATTGAATTGACACAAGAAAATATTAACTTAAAAATGCCATACTAAAACGGAGTTCACACCTGTCACTCTGACTAAAATTCATGATGAATTGATCTAAATGATACCATTTTATCGACCATGACCTTTTTGGGTGTGTGTGGCGTCGGGGCTTCTAAACTAAATTACAATTCACAGTATTCAGAATGGTAATACTGCGTAGTAGTATTAAGTTTGAGACCTACAAAACATAACAACAACTAACAGACAGATAGCTGTCATCAACACAGATGGCATATATATGCGTTAGATCAAGTTGCTGCACCACATCAGTACAATGAGGTGAAATGAAAAAGAAAAGAATTAAAACAATGCAGAAGCAATCAGAAAAAGAAAGTCTAACTCAATGAAGTGATTGAAGATCCACTAACTTATCAACCGATTTACAACTTTTACCAGTTACCCATTTAATTATGAGTAAAAGGCAATATCGCTTCTGACTCGTCTTTTTGGCGTAAACTGAATAATTTTTATTTTAGTCACGATGTAGTCATCGGTTAAAATGATACGACAGTACACGGTACACCTTGTCTTAACGTTCATTGGTTAGACAAAACTGACAAATTACCTTGTACTTAGTCTTCATGCTGTGTAGAAATCGCTCAGCAGAGTATATCTTCAGTGTCAATGAAACTGATACTATTTAAATATCGTATGAACTCACGTCACAGTCAAAGATGTTAGTACTAAACTATTTGGTCGATGCAGTTAATCTCCAAATAAAGATCAGATGTTGGTAGGTTCTACTCCATTCATCTAAATTGCTTTAGACATCCAGGTAGCCCTGACACACATACACACACACACAGAGGTTTGATTTTAAAACTGTACACACTTATTTTGTACTACTTTCTTACTTTACTTTTCGTCTTTCTTTATTTACCATAAAATTTTAGGTGGCTAAAATTACAAAACCATCTGACTATGGATTTACTGCTAAATATTGTTTTGATGGTTTATATATTATTCAATTATTGAAAATGTATGGTTTTACTACGGATGAATTATGGAAAACACTTACATTTGATTCGAAGGTAAGACGAATCACTTCTTTTTATTAGTATAATTAACTGAGCTTTTGATTTTGTGCTTGATTATAGTAAATATTAAACGTAACTTAAACTTTTGGTATTGTTGAGTTCTTTATGTTAGATGATATGATCGAAATTTCACTGTTGCTCTGGTTAGTATCATCAATGTTTAATTTTCATGTAACTTGAGCAGCTTTTATTATGATGAATTATCCGTTTAGGTTTTATTGTTTTCAGCTGTGTTTGTAATCAAGCTATCTGTCTAGTTCAGTTGATTTCTGATCATGTGACTTGTTGACGTTTCTCATATTCTAGCTCTAGGAGAGATTTTTTTATTCACTACTATTGATTTATATTCTACACTAAATAACTGAGACGATAATAACTGAAAGAAGACATTTGTGTTTCATTCTTTTATCTTATCCTATGAATGGTTTAAAATTCATCTGTCATTACTATTCAGATAGCTTTCATCACAGACTGTTGTCATCTGGATAATCAGGGAAAATGAAACAGCTTATTTCGTTCTAGATTGAGAGTATTTTATACTGTGGCTGAGTTCGGTTTGTGTTATGACTTGTGACTGCAGATTAGACGGTAGCGAATTATCGATCGGACCAAAGACGCGTAAAACATGTAAGAACGACCTAGAGTCCCGATTGGCCCTGCTTCCCTGTCTAGCCTAGCCAGTTGAGTCCAGAACGCAAGTCTCGGCCTCTGAGATATGAATCATTATATTTCAAGCATACTGAGTTTATATACTAAACAAACCGACCACAACGTACCAATAAAATATGAACAACATTTGTACAAGAATTAGCCAGATGTGGCTGTGAATGAGGGAGGAACCGATTAACAGACAGGGAATAGTTCATGAATGGCGAATCGTATAATAATAGTTCATAGGTCAAAATAAAGCTCATAATAAGGGGGGCATGAATATGAACAGTTTAGTTACGAAACAATTATACGATAAAAACGTACTCATAATATTGGTCCATAAATGGATCCCAAAAATTATCATTCATTATTCTTATCGGGATACAACAGTATGGGTTTATGGTAATTACTAATTACGGAACATCTGAGCTTACTCTAAAACGAATGGATTCTACGACAGACCCAACAGAACAGCGATTGGCACACAATATTCCAACAGTAATCCTCTATTGCGATAGAATACAGGAATAAGACGAGAGAGCAGAATAATTAGATGCTCATATATATATATATATATTCTTGACATCAACATGTAAAATTCATCAAATGATCCCAAATATTGTTTTAAATAGTAGATCAGTTCTATAAGGGTATTTCAACAGTTCACTTTTACTGTTTCTTTCAGCAGCTTAGAAAAATAAACGACTTTTTAAAGTTACTTATAATCATTATTAGTAGTATGATTTCATTTTTGTTTATTTCTATTGAATACTCTTTTTCCTCTATAGGTTAATGATAAATCAGTTAGCTGGGCATTAGGCTACATGTTAGATCAATCTGGTCATTTACCAAGTGAAAGTCCAAAAGTTTCTTTCAGTACAAAATTATTTGTTGGTCTATTTATTCTACTACTTCTATTCATCATCGGTTCAATTATTGGACTATTATTAATTAGAAACTTTTTGTCCAAATCGAAAAAGTCATCTAGTCAGGTATAAATTATGTGTAAACAACAAAAACAACCATCATAAATCCATAAATTCCATTTTACAATCTATTGTGTAATACATCAACTAATCAGTATCTTTTCTTTGATCTTCTGTTTAATTCCACCTATTTTCTCTCTCTCTCTCTCTCTCTCTCTCTTTGTGTATAATAGTAAAACAAAAAAGGAAATAAAATCATAATTACGGTTTAATGCCTTCATTGGATTTCGAAAATAACTAACTGACAACAACAAATAAATAGGCAATACTTTTTGTTGCCAAGTAATGATAATAATAATAATAATAATAATAATAATAATAATAATAATAATAATAATAGTAACAATCATATGCAGCATACTAAAACCAAAAAAACGCACAAGAATTCCAATAATCATTAGAAATGATTTTAAAGTTTTCACAGTTCTATTTTCTTTGCATTTTAACTGTTATACAAACAATTCTATGAACAAACTAACTGCAAAATAATGATTTTGTTATTTTTGTATACGTAACAACGTGTCTTTAAAACAATTAAATAAATAAATAAATCGTGGTAGTTAATTTTCCTCTCCCCCCCCCCCAGTTGTTTTGTTAATTTAGGATATTTTTTATCGTTTTGTGTTGTTAAATTGTGTAATTTTCTTTTTCAATATCAATATTCTTACTGTTTATTCTTTCCCCAGACTTAAGTGGCCAATCATAACTATGTATTTTGGTGTGTGTGTGTTTTATTTTTTTATGTGTGTTTATCTAACCATATTATATATATATATATATACGTAAGTTGTGTATTCATCTTTTCTTCTGATTGGTGTGTTCATACATTTATTTCGCAGCTTTTTATTGGTTATCGTTGTATTCGCACTTAACGTTGTCAGAAATAAGTAAAGGAGTTAATCCATGTCGGGTAGAAACAGGTGTCTACCTCAGTACAATGGAAGATGGTCGCGCAATTTCGTGGATTAGTTGAGGTTAGACATTAACACCATTGGATGCCGGGTCAGTGGTCTAATTGGTTAAGCGTCTGACGTGAGACTGATAGGCCCTGGGTTCGAATTTCGCGGGGTGCGGGATCGTGGATGCGCATTGCTGAGGAGTCCCATACTAGGACGAAACGGCTGTCCAGTGCTTCCAGGTTTTTCATGGTAATCTAGCTTCAATTGACTCATGATTTCAATCAAAAACTTAACAATCTCCACAACACCTAAACTGATAAAGGAAAAATAATGAATTACTAAATGTAAATTTAATAATTTCAATAATTGTAATTATGAGTCCATTGAAGCTAGACCACCATGGAAAACCTGGAAGCACTGAACGGCCGTTTAATAATAATTCTTTGAACTCGATTATTTTCTAATTAATTCACACAAGATAGAATATAATAACAATGTTTAATAATCATTAATGATTTCATAAAATATTCTCTACCTAGTTTATCTAATGATAAAGATTAGTTGTAAATAGATAAATCAGGATTATTTGTTATATTCTCATCAAATTACTATGAACACTTAGTCAGTTATTAATAGTTCACTAAAATTTTAATGTAACTCATTTATCAAGTACTATTTGGTGAGTTCAACTTTGAGTTACGTATTGTATGTATGAAGGAAGGTAACATTATCCTAATTAGGTGTAATGATGTTTGAATTTGTGACTTCTTAGTTATAAACTAAGTGATTCAATAACTAAGACATTATCAGTTAAGATAGTTACGAGTTTCTAATTAAAATTAACTCAATATCAATTAATAAAGAAGCTTGTTATTTGTCTGATGGAAGTAGGAAATGATTGATCAGTGCACAAAAATAGACATATCCAGTCGCACTAAATATGAGAGACCATCTTACAAGTAAAATTTGTCACAGTTATATTTCATTTGATTGCACTTACTGATTCCTTTGTATTATATGTTAATAAACTCTCATTCTGGCGCATATTTAGCTTTTCACCATTGGCCCCTAAATCGGAGTAGTGTTTAGATAGAAATCTACTAATATTCCAAAAATAAAACAGCGATTTAACTAAGGTTAGAAAGAAAAAATGTCAGTATATTTATGATTTTTGCACTAATTCATTAGTAGAGTCTTCTCTACTAATGAATTAGTGCTGATTGACCAGAAATAGGTCAGTCAGTATGCTATAACGTAATTCTCTATGGAACACGCAACAATTTAACCCATGTCCTACTGACAGTTGGTAACCGCAGAAGGAATACATCGTAGAACAATTTCTCTTGCTGATGACTTTTTCTGAAGTCATATCTGAACGTAGAGTAAGGCTGGTTTTTGTCTCATCTCTAGAGATATCAATGAGCCACATATCAACTGGTTAGAGCCTACAACTTCAGGTGGATGCTTAGACTGAAACCTACTGTTAACTAGTCTTCGGTTTGAACTTGTACAATTTATCAAATAACTGGCATATTATAACTTAGAATATGAACAATCACTGTTGAACTTTGTCTTCATTCAACGTTATGAAGCTTCCGACATTGATTTCTTACCCCCACTGGCGAGCAGCGATCATACTTTAAATATTTGAATAGATAATATACAGTATATGTCTGTCTGGCACACCTCGTCCCAATATCTGGCGGGCTAACATTCCGGTAATCAGAGATTTTGTTGTTCCAATAAATTAATCAGTTAATTGAAGGTGAGTTGATTGAGTTTAAAGCCGCAGCCAATCCGTTCATTCTATGGTCAGCTTCACGTAAGCCATCGCGTTGACCTGCATGCATCGATAGAGATATCCGAAAATCATTGTGAAGTAGGAAGCACGATTGGAACTTGGTCTTAACAGCGGGTCATGAATCGTTCAAGTGAGAGTACTGAAAGATTAGAAATTTATGTGAAACGGGTATAGCCAGATCTAGCACTACTTACGAAAGTCGGCACATGAGCCAAAACGATTGCTGTAAAATATAGAGAAGAGAACGAAACAGTCAGTCAGCTACAATGTAGAACCAGGCACATATATGCATCGGTCCAAGTTGCCATACCTCATTAGCACAGCAAGATGGACACCAGATTCATAGAAGCAGTTAACTCAATGGTGTAATATATAAAGGAAAAATTGCATATAAGGATATAGTATAGGAAGAAAGATTTAGTACGTACATAGAAAGACTGCATATAGAGATATAGTACAAGAAGAAAAAATTGGTTCGTAGAAAGAAAGATATGAAGCGATTTTAATCTCTTAGTTTAAGGGAAGACAGAGAGCGTATACACCGGCGACATTGTGATCGATTCTGAGCCATGTTGCCCAGAGTCTCCAACCATTGGTTACGATAGTCACGCGGACCCCAACCAAGTAGTCTACATCTACTAACATGGCTCAGACTAGAAGTTAGTGACTTCAAGCACTAATACCATATTTTGGTTTGGCCACCCCTAACTTTCTTCCAGTCGCCTCCAACACTAGTCCGCATTGCGCGTCGTGGTAATCGGTGTTCAGGCATACGTAACACATGGCCCAAACATCTCAGTCGATGAAGATTCACAACCTCATCAACTGATTTACCATCGTTCCCTAATACCATGCGTTGAACCTCACTATTACTTCCCCGGTGATCCCAACAGATGCAAGCAATATTTCTAAGACATCTGTGGTCAAATATTAGTAGCTTACGAGTATCTCCTACTCTTAATGACCATGTTTCGTTGCCGTAAATTAAAACAGAACGAACTGCCACGTAGTATACACGTCCCTTTTATTGATAGACGGATATCTCGCCTTCGCCATAGGTGACGTAAGTTGGCAAAAGCCAAACGAGCTTTTCGAATCCATGCTGATATTTCGTCAGACACCAACCCATTTGGGTTGGCCAGACTTCCTAGGTAAGTGGAGTTGTCAACGCGTTCGACAACTTCACTCCCTATCCTTAGTTCAGGTGTTGATGCAGACCAGTCCTGAAGCAACAACTTGCATTTGGATGATGAGAAGCGCATTCCAAACATACTGGCATTGTTGCTCAGTGCTACCAAAAGACTGCATTTTATCAGCGTCTTCACCAAACAGGACTATGTCATCTGCGTATTCTAAGTCGATAATTGGACCTCCTGGAATGAGATCAATGCCTGAAAATTCGGTCAATAAGAGCGTTATTTCCATCAGTAGGTCTATGATGAAGTTAGACAAAAATGGAGAAAGTCGACATCCTTGACAGACAACACTTGAGGTTGCAAAAGCAGATTACAGTTTGCCATAAGCTCTGACTCGACTAGTAGTGTTCGAGTACAGCGTCTTCACAAGGTTTATGTACTTCTAAGGTACATCTTCTAATGACGGACACTGCCACACAACCTGTCGGTCTCCAGAGTCAAATGCTGCTTTTAAGTCAATGAAGACCACCATTGTCGGACGCCGATAAGTATGCCTGTGTTCTAGAACCTGACGAATGGTGAATATGTGGTCGATGCAGCCACGAACAGGTCCGAAGCCAGCTTGATTTTCCCGTGTTTGCAGTTCACAAGTCTTAGTTAGGCGTCCGATAATTATCGACGCTAGTATTTTGGATGCTATATTAGTCAAACTAATCCCTCTATGGTTGCCACAGGATGATTTTAACCCTCTCTTATATATTGGGACGATCAGTGACTGTGACCAGTCAGATGGAATAACGTCTAACTCCTAGATCTTAGCTAAAATATTAGTCAACCTAATCGCTAAAATTGGACCACCATCCTTAAAGACCTCTCGAGCCAATCTATCTGGACCAGCTGCCCTTCCTCGTTTCAGATTAACTATAGCCTTATGAACTTCAGCTAGAGTCGGGGGACCTACTTCAATGTTCCATTCACACTGTCTGGGAATGGTGGGTAGTTGTAGAGAGAACGAAACGAAATAATGGGATTGTTCCATTACTGTTATACGACAATTCAGACGCAGTGGCTGAGTCAGATGCGGCCAAAGCTTAATTTCTAAAACTATTTCAGCTAGGTTTACCCGAGGATATTGTTATTAAAACTCCTCGTAGACACACTGCTGAGACCAGTGCTTGTGACTGAGAAGGCCGTTCTTCCATCGCTTGTTGGCTGCAAACCTGGCTCTGATTGGTTACGATCACGACTGCTGTCACCCCCCCCCACGAATGGCGGCCTGCTTGAGCATCTGGGCTACCTGTTCCTGCCATCTAGATATTTCAACAAGTTATCTATTATTGTTTGTTTTAATATATCATTATGTTTATTAATCGCATAACCTATTCTGCTGCGTTTCTGAAAAGTGTACAACCTTTCGTTGTCAAAGTTACAGAAAACTCAATAAGAGACAATATGGTTGCTGGCAATGTACAACGAAAAGAATGTACATTATTCAGTTGTTCATTCACTGAAGTGCTAACATCTAACTGGCGATTCCTCAATATTTATCGCCAGGACCGACCAAGAAGAAAGAAACGGAAACTTGTTGAAATACTTTGCGCTGAGAATTCTATATTGTACCAAAATTATAATATTGAATAAAGCTAATAATAATAATAATAATCATTTCAGAACCACTCACAGTGTTGTTCAGCATGTCTCAACTCCCTAGGGATTGGATGGTATTGTTAACCTTATATTTAAGTATGGAAAGAGACAGATCGTGTCTAACTACATATCTGTTAGTCTAACTATCATAGTAGTCAATTTATTTGAGAAAGTAATTAAGGATAAGTTATTAGGTTACATAGAATCATATAACCTGTCAACTTCTAAGCAACACGGGTTTTGAGATAGACATTTATGTTTAACTAACTTACTGACTGTAACGGAGGATTAGACAGCGGGCCAAGATAGCGTTTTTTCTGTCGATGTGATATTCATAGATTTCAGCAAGCCATTTGATAAGGTGTCTTACTAAAGCTTTATGCAAAAGCTCCCCAGCCTTGGAATATCAGATAAAATACAAGAGTGAATAAGAAAGTCCCTCTGACCGAGAGTGAAGGTAAACAGTACACTATTTGGATAAAAACTAGTTAAAAGTAGTGTTTCCGAAGGCATCATCTTAAACTGTCTATTTTTTCTTCTCTACATCAGTAAAATTACCATGACTGTTGTCGTCAACAATTACTTGCAGGTAATGTCAAAGTCTGGAGAAAAATAAGTAGAATTGATCACCTTGATCTCCCAGCTAATCCAAACGAATTAGCTAGACGGTCACGAAATTGGAGTTTGGAAATTATTTCTAGGGAATATGCTAATGCACATTGGACACGGTAATAGTTACCAGTATGCCGTCAACGATACATAGCTTCCATGCATGTAAAACCTTACCTAAAGTATTGCATCCAAACAGTTAATCCATGTTTTACTTAGGATGTTATTACACTCGAGCATCATCAGTGTGCAGGAAATAAGTTAGCGATGGATCTTTCCAAACTCCCCTACAATGAGGGCTTAAACCTTTTCTCCTTATCTTATCGTGGGACGCGAGGTAACCTGATATTGACATTCCGTATCTTGAATAATGGTTTGTGTGTTAACATATCTTATCATTTAGCACCCCCCAGAACTAATAATATGAGTGGCCATCGCAATAAGGTTCAAAAACTACGATCAAATAAACTCAGAGTAGGATTACATTTTTCTTATAGAGCGGTCAATGACTGGAACACCCTACCCCAACAAGTGTTATCAGCCCCATCAGTGAACACATTCAAGAAAAAGCCGGATCACCACTAGAAAACAAGCTGGAAAGATTAGCACAGATTGATCGACCTGCTGAACAATCGATTTCTGTCTAAGTTAGGCTGATAAGAAGGTAATCAATTTGGGTAACTTACCATATGAAAAAATTAATATATTTGTTTCATACAGTTATACAAAGATAACCAAAAACAAACATTCGGAAATATTAGTTTAATTTATACATTGAAATTAAGACGAACAGTAGTTTTTATACATAAAAAATAGAATCTGTAGTAATATACATCTGGTGTATGCTACTTGGGCTGACAGATATAAGTAGTATGTATCCCCAATCAGAAGTGGAATGCCTGGTAGCAGGAGATTGAATTGAAGAGTATAGAAAAAAAGTCGAAGAGGAATCGAGATAACAGAATTAAGGAAATAATGTAATAGGTAAAGGACAACGCAAAGAAGATGTACAAGTAACTCAATTTAATTATGCATAAATAATTCCATAGAAAACTAGACAATTATTAGAAAACTAATAACTAGATGGCAAAAACCAATGTCCCATAGGTATCCTATGTAAAAATATAGTTCCACAACTTAAAAAGAAAAATGAAAATGCTAGAAAGAAAAGCACTCTTTCTGTAAAACGACGCCGACGAGCTAAAGATGTTAAATGTTTCGACTGATTCATATGTCCAGCCATTTCTTTCAGTTCAGAATAATTCGAGATTAATTTATTTGACGAATTTTCAAGTAATTCAGCATTAACAGCTCCACGTTGAACTTCTTCCGCTAGAAGTCTAGCATACCTCGTCATATCTTGAGTAAGTTCCAATGAGTTTTGATACTGTTCTTCTAAATTGGAAATCTTGTTACCGATTTCAGTTCTTGACGAACGATTAGTAAGTTCAGCCCTTTCAACAGTTTCTAAAGTTGAATTGGCTGCAAAGATAGCCTTACGATATCGATCCTGACAAATATTCAAAGTATGAAATTAAACAAGACTATAAATATTATAACTAGAAGACATATTTATACAAACAATAAACTGCATCCAACGTAAATCTGAGTTACAATTAAACATAATTCATTAATTCATAGGAAATTCAACCCAAATAAGATAAAAAGTGACCATTTTTTTAAATGAAAAGAATCTATAAGGATCAAGCAATGCGTATCATTGAGAAGGGATTAAATTTAGAAAATCAAAACACAAAGTTGTATGTTTATTGTAAGATAAAAGAATAGAGATATGCTATTCTGTTTTACACAAAAAACAGGCATTGAAACAAAAGATGTTAGGTCTTATGATCATTAACTGAGATATTATCACAATATCGACGTGGGTATCGATGACAGTTTTCGGTTAAGTGAATAAAACTTCCCTTGGAAAAAGTCTCCTGGACAATTTCTTAAGCAATTCGTGCATTTTAAAAGCTTTGTTACCGAATTCTGTCTCAAATTAGTAACAAAACGACTACCTTTGTGTGTTATAATGAACAGAAAATTGACTAATATATAAAGTACTGGAACCATTGAATAATTAGCAACCTGCATATATTTTTACTTATCTAGCAAATTTGTACACGGATATTAATTTATCAAATAAAATGGAATCATTTTCTGACAAATTGTGCTGCATTGATATAAATCTAACTGAGGTTTCGATTTCGATTTTGTCTTCGTGTACGATTGTATTTCAGTAACGATTCAAACCGAACCATCTAAAGAACAGTCACAAATGAAATGCATTTTGTTTTGACTGTTAGTCAAGTGTAAAATATAGATGGAAAGAGCTCGTCAACAGAAATGCTCCAATACCTAGAACGACCCGATAGTGTACCCCAACAGTAATTTACAACACATGTTGTAACTGCGACTGGCGATAAATTCTTTTGACAGCCAACCTAACTGAAATTATCCCAGTAAAAAAACCACGACAGCCAAGACTTAGTAATAACGAAAAGTAGTTTGGGTTAGCTGTCCGACGAATTTTGTCTCCGGAACGGTATTAATTATATCCGATTGTCACTGCTTCGGCCTTAATCGACCGGTTGGGTCGAGCGTTTTGTTGGTACATTCAAAGACTCTCTGAAGACATCTAACGGGCGAGGACCATTGAGATCCTAGGTGGGTTCCTGTTCATCTACTACACTACACCGAACCTTCAATCACCCAATGACATCTTTCTGATAGAAGCTTTACTTGGTAAATAATTGTGTACATCTTTCGATTTTATTGGTCCGCTGCCATCGTATGAACTTCAACAAAACATATATGGAGAAGCAATTCAAACAACATTATGAAGCATAAAAATGATTGTTTACTGTCAGAAAGTATTTGCTATGAATTACGGTGACAAATGCCTTACATGAATAGCCAATCGAATCCTGAAAAGAATAGGTTACGTTATCTATGACGTGTTAGTTGGTCTACCAAATTGAGTATTACACGTTAAAATTTGAAAGCAACTTCACTAGCGAGAAGCATCGTAGAATACTAGTTGATATTTTGTTTGACATCTTCGACATTTAACTATCAGTATTATTTGAGCTCAATCTAGGGCACAAAAACAATACAATGTCTTTAATGACAAGAATCTGGACAGCTATGAAGAGCAGACAGGTCAGTCTGATGCAGTTGGATTGCGACAACATATCTGATACGATACTCAAAGATTAGACTTTACAGTCAGGTCTTTATTGACTAGAGAATGAGTGACTAACAAGTTAATTTCTTCCAATCACTTAAATTTTATCAAGCTTATTTTGTGTTCATAATTTCTATATAAGCAGGTCATTTTCTTACATGAGAAAGCCTATTTATCTGGCTATTAGTAACCTTGTCCTTTTTTTCGAATAATTCGGCGGCTTAAGCCGAAATAGACGGTTTTGTGAGTAGCCATCGCTAGGTCCTACTATATCATTGCGTTCATGTACCAATTGGCATTTTATACATTGATTTCGACAATCAAAAATTTCATCCAATTAAACCATAACGGAAAACCTCCCCCCACAACAATCTCCTAGTAATCTGCTCGAAGATAGAGATGTTAACAGGATATTGTCCTGACTATCGCATGCTCTGACGAAAATCAAATCGGGATACGCTAACTGGTTCATATTTAATCGACCAGCATTAGTGGACGGATCGAGAAGCTAGATTTTTATGTAAATTCTAAGAAAGTTCGAGTGTTTTTACTACAGCATTTTGTGGTTTGATTTATTGCGATATACATTGTTTGATCTCCATTCCTATTCTGATTTGGAAAAAGTCGACTGAAACCTAATGTTCAGTGAATACAAGGCAGTAAATGAAAATAATAATACTCGATAATGTAACAGGAAGATGAAGATTATCAGACCTATGTGATATATTAGCGCAATACATTTCGAACAATCTGAACACATATATATTTGTTAAGAGCATATATATATATATATATATATATATATATATATATATATATATATATAAAAGGTCAACTAGACTGGAAATGGGGTAAGAGGAGATAAGTATAATAATAAGAGTAATAATAATAATAATAATAATAATAATAATAATAATAATAATAATAATAATAATAATAATAATAATAATAATAATGTGAACACAATTCGAAACCTGATCACTCTGGATAATAAGTCAATATTACCAAGGTAGGTTTAAGGTAAGAACAAACTGTTTTTGAATACACAAAGGGGGGTTTGAATTTTCGTATGGCTAAGGCTTCAATAAGCCTTAGTATACGCCCTTTTACACTTTTATACAACACCACAAAAGCCGAGTTTAGATCAATCTTACGGCCTGTTTCAATTATATGTTTAAATGTGAACTATTTGTCAATTGAAGAAATGCAAGGACCTTATGACGATGAAAGGGCTCAATGGGTTCTAACGTTACACCGTCAAGCTTGCGTTAGTGAAATGTGAGATCAATTTTCTCGAAAGCTGTATCGAAAATAATGATTATCCTAAACGTTTCTGGAAGGCACTAAGGCGAAACCACATTCATCCCAATGCAAAAACACTCAAACGTCATGCACTCAATTATATCGATGCTATCAAATCTCGAAAAGCCGAACTAGATCGCAACATATCTCTAAAAAGTCACGCCTTGTTTGAATTGTCGTTAGATGAACGTAAACAATTTGAGGACTATGTTACTAATGTTACGGAAAAACAGTCACAAAAAGCTAGACGTAAACACTTGGAAACATTGCAACACGTAGACGTGATTAAGAAGTTTCCAGAACATCCAGAAAAGTATGTATTTCATCATTCTTCTAATAAACTTTCACCAGTCCAAATACGGGCCTTATCATTGGGTCCGAAGTTCTGTAACAGCACCTCCAAAACTAGTAGACTTCATACACAAATACAATTCGAAAACCTATCAAATCAAACTCATGATCTTGTGCCAACATCCCCAAAAAATTTTCAGCACTTTAAATCCACATTAGTGGACTGCAGTCATGGATACGTTAATGCACAATGTAGTAAGAATAACCTATTAACTAAGAACCACTTGGATCAGCTAATACTCCTGAAAAGAAATATGGATTTAATCCTAAGTAAACCTGACAAAGGAGCTGGTGTAGTACTACTTGACCGCCAAGAATATTTGGATAAAATGAAATTAATTCTAGAGGATGGTACTAAATTCTCCAAACTTAAAGAAGTTGACAAAACTTTGCAAATCGAAGAACAGCTAACAGATGTTGTTAAAATTCTTAAGAATAAGGGGATAATAACCCAAGGTTTATATAATCACATACGTCCCATGGGTTCAATCATCCCGCGCTTATATGGACTACCGAAAGTACATAAGCCGGGTTTACCGTTACGACCTATTTTGGATATGTCCGATTCACCATACCACAGAATCGCCAAATGGCTAGCGGAAATATTGGAACCGGTTAGAAGGCAAGTATCTAAATTTTCTATTCATGATACTTTTCAATTTATTGATCGTATTAAGGACCTTAATACTTCCGGAAAACACATGTTGTCGCTTGACGTTAACTCTTTGTTCACTAGCGTACCTTTAACCGAAACGATATGTTATATATGTGAGTACATTGATTTCAACAACATAGATCTAGGTTTGCCGACTGAACACTTGAGAGAACTATTGTTACGCTGTACTTTTAATGTCCAGTTTAGTTTCAATAATGAAATATATAGACAGAGGGATGGAATCGCAATGGGGTCTCCATTGGGTCCGATTTTAGCAGATTGTTTCATGGCAAAACTAGAAAACGACCAACTAAGCTCAATGATCAGTCAATTTCACCTATACGTCAGATATATGGACGACACGTTTATCGTTTGTGACAATAATATTGATTTAGAGAATATTTTACACACCTTTAACTCATGCCACCCTTCTATAGACTTCACGTTAGAAAGGGAACAGGACCAATCAATTCATTTTCTCGATGTACGTCTGATGAGGAGTAATGGTTCTTTAAAAAGATCCATCTTTAGAAAAAAAACATGGAATGGACAGCTAACCAACTTCTATAGCTGGGTTCCGTTAAGTAGAAAGAGAAACCTCATCCACTCTTTATGTTATCGAATACATCAGATATGCAGTAAGGAATGCATTAACGAAGAACTTGAATTCCTCAAGAAAACCCTGACGGAAAATGGTTACCCAGAACGCTTCATAGAAAAGAATATGAATAAAAGTAGTTATGACAAGAAACCTAGTTGCTCCGTTACAAAGAAAAGCCTTTATATAAGTCTGGAATTTAAAAGTGATCGAACATCAGACGTAATCAAAAATCGTCTAACAACAACTATTAGAAGAACATTTAATGCAGCTAAACTACAAATAACCTTCACGAGTAGGAACTCATTTTCTGTGTCCATAAAAGACAAGCTTCCGCGTCTGGTCGCCTCTATGTGCATCTACCAGTTCACCTGCTCTTGTGGAGCAAGGTACATTGGCCGTAGCCAGCGCTCG